AGGACAGTACTGCCTACCTCAAGGTTGTTAGAAGATTAAATGAGCATAACTTGGAAGTACCTAATACAACAGGGGCTTAAATGTTAGTCCCTTCCATGTGTACCCATTTTATTATTTTTCTTCATAAAGTAAGTCTTTGTCAGAACATTTGGCCCTCTAAATTTGTCTTTAAGCTTCCTGTAAAACGTCTTACAGGACGTTTGTACCATTTACATATAATTTGCAAAGGTAAAATATCTGTTCCACTGAAGTACTCATAGAAGCAGAGTTTGTTTCTGTAGCCTTTTCACCTCATACAACATAGGCTGCAATACCAGAAAATCATTCAAACATAAGCATGCTTTAACCTACACTTATATGTGAGAGAGAACAGAAAGAAACTTTGAGAAAAGGGGAAGTTAGGCTTGACCCATACTGACCATTACAGTGTACAAAAGAAGATAAAAGAGCAGGGTGGACTGTCACCTTCTATGAATCATGCTAGGGCCTGCCCATTGTGCCCACTGTTTGTTTTAAATTGTTATTGTCAGAACATCAGACACCAGTAACTGAAATGCCTATTTAAATGCAGTTATAGGAACTAAGATATGGTTCAGACAATCATATACAGAACATAAAATATCTTGAAACTAAAGGTTTAGTTGAGCATAACTTATAATTGTTACCTGCCCCGGCCAGGCATGGTGGCTGAAGCCTGTAATTACAGCAATTTGGGAGGCCGAAGTGGGCGGATCGTGAGGTCAGGAGATCGAGACCATCCTGGTTAACACTGTGAAACTCCGTCTCTGCTAAAAATACAAAAAATTATCTGGGCGTGGTAGCACTCGCCTGTAGTCCCAGCTACTTAGGAGGCTGAGGCAGGAGAATTGTTTGAACCCAGAAGGTGGAGATTGTAGTAAGCCAAGATCACGCCACTGCACTCCAGCCTGGGCAACAGAGCGAGACTCCATCTCAAAAACAAATTGTTACCTGCCCATACCAAGTTGATAGCAAGTATATATCAAATTGGACTATTTTTCTATTTTTGTAACTTATTTGCATACTGGTAAATTTCTTCTAGTCTGCCATACTGTTTTTTTTTTTTTTTTTTTTGAGATGGAGTTTCGCTCTTGTTGCCCAGGCTGGAGTACAATGGTGCAATCTCAGCTCACTGCAATCTCTGTCTCATGAGTTCAAGCAATTCTCCTGCCTCAGCCTCCGGAATAACTGGGATTACAGGCATGCACCTCTCACCTAATTTTGTATTCCTAGCAGAGACGGGATTTCATCATGTTGGTCAGGCTGCTCTTGATTCCTGACCTCAAGTGATCCACCCTCTTCAGCCTCCCAAAGTGCTGGGATTACAGGCGTGAGCCACCATGTCCGGCTAGTCTACCATATTCTTATTTTCCAAATGTGACCACCATAACTTTGTCCCTTGAGCTTTATATGATTGTTGTATTTCAATAGAGCGTATAGTATTAGGAATATTATCCCTGTGGTGATGTGAACTTAACTGTGGCAACTAGCTTTAAGATCCAAATTTGGAAAATATGGAGAGGCCAACCCAGAAGCCTTTTATTGTTTCTTTGAAAAGTTAGTTTTACCTTTTGCACTTTTGCAAAAGTGCTGTAACATTTTAAAAATTGTATTTCCCAAATTAACTGGGCATTCCTGTAATCCCAGCTACTAGGGAGGCTGAGGCAGGAGAATCACTTAAACCCAGGAGGCAGAGGCTGTGGTGAGCCAAGATCACGCCATTGCACTCTAGCCTGGGCAACAAGAGCGAAACTCCAACTCAAAAGAAAAAAAGAAAAAAATTGTATTTTATGTGCCAACATGACTCCACTATTACAATTTGGTAATCTTAAAACAGTTTTACAGTGAGTACTTGCCATTATATTCCAATAAAAATAAAGTCAAGTTTGTCCTGTGATGTAAAAGCGTTGCAGGTTGTTTTTATGATGGTGCTAATAACAAACTGATTTTCATAATATATGGCATGTTACAGTTTACAAAAAGTTTTTGTTTGAGGTGGAGTCTCCCTCTCTTGCCCAGACTAGAGTGCAGTCACGCAATCCTGGCTCACTGCAACCCCCACCTCCTGGGTTCAAGTGATTCTCCTGCCTCAGCCTCCCGAGTAGCTGGGATTACAGGCACCCGCCACCGCACCCAGCTTATTTTATTTTTAGTAGACATGGGATTTCACTATGTTAGCCAGGCTGGTCTCGAACTGCTGACCTCAAGTGATCTGCCCACCTCGGCCTCGCAAAGTGCTGGGATTACAGGCATGAGCCCCAAAAGGTTCTTTTCACATTAAAAAAGCCCTGCTTAAAATACCCTTATTTTTTTCTATTGAAGAAATGGAAGACAAAGATTTAGGGACTCAACTGAAGTACATTACCTTAGAATATAGTGAAATCTATAGTAATAGATTCTGTGTTTAACATACAATCTTGTCTTTACTGTCCTGGTATTACATGTGCTTTTTGCAGAATACCATTAGTTTTTATTTTGTTCTTGCCTTCAGTGGGATGAAGCCCTCTTGACTATGAGTAAAGGAGAAAAGGCTCGACTGGAGATTGAACCAGAATGGGCTTATGGAAAGAAAGGACAGCCTGATGCCAAGTATCCTTTTTTCCCTTCATAATTAAAGTTAAAAAAAAAAAAACAAAAACCTGTAGATCACCTGAAGATGTGAAAGATGCTGTCTAGGCAAACTTCTGGATCAAGAATCCTGTCCAGACTAGTCTTCCTGATCTTTAGATGCTTATGTGTCAGCACCTCCAATAGACAATAGTATTTTCTATTGGTATAAAGTTCAAACCTCAGCTATAATTTTTGTTTCTCTTATTCAAATTCTTAACTTTCAAGACCTTAACTGTGAAGTTTAAGCTTAAGCAGCAATTCTTAATGTTTTTAAGTTTAAGAAAAGTTACCATGCCCAGTACAAACTGTAGCAAAGTAGGATGCAGATATGGCTCATGGTAATTTTATGGTACAATGTAATTTCAGGCAATTAAATTCAAAGCTTAGAAATGGAATAGATGTGGGAGATTACCAGTTGTGAACTGAAGGAGACCACAGAATCAACAGTGTTAGCATAAGCATTTATTATTACTACTAATGACAATACTCACTGAAAGTCCAGTTTATGAACATTTAAAAAAGAATAAGGAATGACTCCAGACCATTAAGACCAGACCAATCCAGTAGGTAAGAGGGAAGGTAGTTTATGGCTTTTGTTGGTTCCATTCCTCTTGGACCGGTAAGATTAAGTTTGAAAAAACACTTCCTTTGGAAGGCAGCTTTCTGTAGTCTTAGCAGATAAACATATTTGGGAATATAATAGCTCTCTTAGCTTTTCAAAATCAAATGGCCAGGCTGGGCGCCATGCTAATGCCTGTAATCCCAGCACTTTGGGAAGCCAAGGAAGGCAGATCACGTGAGGTCAGGAGTTCAAGACCAGCCTGGCCAACATGGTGAAACCTCGCCTCTACTAAAAATACACAAATTAGCCAGGCGTGGTGGTGCAGGCCTGTAATCCCAGCTACCCTGGAGGCTGAGGCAGGAGAATCGCTTGAACCTGGGAAGCAGACATTGCAGTGAGCCGTGATCACGCCACTGCACTCCAGCCTGGGCAAAAGAGTAAGGCTCTGTCTCGCGGGGGGGGAAAAAAATCAAATGGTCAGCTGCAGCAGCTCCCTCTCCCATGTAAAGAAGCATCTCAAGACCAATCTGATGCACATACAAATTATGTAACTGTTAAGTTAGCATTTTTTTTTTTTTTTGAGACAGAGTCTCACTCTGTCACCCAGGCTGGAGTGCAGCATCGTGATCTCAGCTTGCTGCAACCTCTGCCTCCCAGGCTCAAGCAATTCTCCTGCCTCACCCTCCCTAGTAGCTGGAACTACAGGTGTGCACCACCACACCTGGCTAGTTTTTGTATTTTTAGTAGAGACAGGGTTTCACTATGTTGGCCAGGCTGGTCATGAACTCCTGACCTCAGGTGATCCACCGCCTCAGCCTCCTAAAGTGCCGAGATTACAGGTGTGAGGTACCGTACCTGGCCTTGAACTTAGCATCTTAAAATGCACAGTAAATATTACGTACTACCTCATAAAAAGTTTAATACGGTGTGTGTGTGTATGTATTTTCCCAGCTAGAATGACATTACCTTGTTTTTTGGAGTACTTAATAGTCTTCATTAAGTGGTGGCTAACTTAGGAGTACTTGTAAAGCATCCAGGTAAGGAGGATCCTAGTCCAAGCTTAAATTTATCTAGTGAGCCTATCTAGTCAGCCTATCCTATACTAAGGTTATGGGGGTACGGGAGAGGCACTTTTTATCAAATGTACCTTGACTTCTTCAACAGAATTCCACCAAATGCAAAACTCATTTTTGAAGTGGAATTAGTGGATATTGACTGAAATAGTTCAGCTCTAAGGATATTAGCAACAATGATAAAACTTGGCCTTGAAGAAACTTACATAACTCGTTAGAACTTGTTACTATGGTAAAGGAAGAGTCAACTGGAAAATTCAAGGAGTTAATAAAATTTGTTTACCTGATCCCAGCTTTTGAGAGATGGAATCCCTTATGAATCCCTGAAGTCTAAAATACTTTCCTACAGCTGTGTAAAATACTGGTCAAGGAGAACTTTTTCCTTTTACCTCATGTTGTAAACTAAGTGGCTCAATAAAAATTTATCCACTGTCTTGATCTGACTGTGATTTGTTTGGTGTTAATATATTATTGTTCCGATTAGGTAACTGGAACTAAGGACCTCATCAAACCAGGGAGTAACTCCCAGTAAAATTATCTGGACAGATTGCCTGTATAATGAGAAGGCAAAGCATAGGGCTTGAGGGGAAACAAAATGCTAAAAGGGAAGAAATCTTGGCATGAAGATCAATACCTCAATTTAGGAAAAGTGCACTTCAAAACCAATGAGCCACTAATAAAGATGAACATAAAGTTAATATTATTAATTGATGCCCCCAAAATAAATTCATAAACGATTACTGGATGAGTCTTCCATTTTATTACAAAAATGAAGATGATCAGTTTGATCAAAATGAAAGCTTGTTCACAAGTTTTACATGAATATTCTAAATACAAAGTCTCCTGAAACAACATACTTTTGATATGATTTTCATTTTTAAAGGGATGCAAACATTCCATTTTCTCATTTATAATCTCTATTCCAAGGCATAGTATTTTAATAATGTATCCTTTCTGCCGTTAGATCACAATTCACAAGTATAACTGAAACAGAGAAAACCTTGATAGCAAAGGTTAAAGTCCTTTTTTTTTTTAAAAAAAAAAAAAGGTAAATCCTTAATAACCAGCCCTTATGTGTTGTCAGAATTTTGTACTACACTGACATGATTTGCAGTCAGGTTTTTCTTCCTACCCCTTAAGGCTACAAAATTCTGTTGCAAATGCATTGCAAAAGAATTCTAGACCGCTTAATGCAAAAATCAAAAAATAGTTCTTCAATAAAAAGTAAATTTTATAAATGGTAGGAAACAGTATCAGTATCTGTGGTAAGCTACTAATTGACATTTTTCCCCTATTACTAAACAAATCATGTTACACAGAAACAAGGAAGACAGGTTTTCAAATACAACAAGCTTATACTGTTTACATCCCTCATTAAAAAAAATAATAATTTCATACTTTTCACACACTCCATTTGAAATTTACATTTTTCCCATCAGGTTGGAGGGGGAGGATAATATTGTCCGTAATTCCAAGGATTCTGATAATTGTACTGAAAGGAAAAATTAAGTGTGTTAGTATACTAGAACTATGGCAGAGTTCCATATGTAAAAGTATAATTAAAGCAGGTATGTTTAAGAAAACAAGCAAGTGTTCACTGCTAAAAATTCTAGTACTTAACCACCAAAGAATGTATTACACAATTGGAACAAAAACATTTTTTTTAAAAAAGAAAGTATCCTATTTTATGCTAATAACATCTATGAACAAAGAATTATAATTATGCATACTCACTTGATACCATGCACTATAATTATATACAGCTTGGTTTGCCTGTAAATCACCATCAATCATCTGTGTAGATGATGAAGTTGTATCTTCTGTGTGTGCTTTCTTTTCCTCTGGTTCTTCTGATCTATTATAAAATGGCAAAATGGAAACTTTCAAAACTCCCACAGATAACAACTTTAACGAATAGATGAATGTTATCTATACATTTGTATTACTGAAGTTCTGAATCATTCATGACTTTCAAATCATGAAAATAAAGTATGTAAATTACAACAAAAGTAACATTTGTCTTTGAAGGCGTTTCATAATGAAGCACCCCTTCTTGACTTAGCAAAAAGTGACATACCCATTTTCTGCTTTCCTTTTTAAAGAATCCTGTTCTTTTAGGAGTGTCTGATGTTCATCATAAGCATTCAGAAGCCTGAAAGCAAAGAAAAACATATCATCTGGAATATATAAAAAACAAACTTTATTAAATATTTAAAGTTATTTTTACTTAAGAAACTGCCTAAGAAAATTTCTAAGCGACTCCTTTATTTTTAAAATTTCTACTACTAAAATCATAGTTCTGATAGACACTCCATTCCCTATACTTACAATGGACTAAATGACACTTGTGTTGAATCTCCAATTTGTCTGCCTATTTTTGCCAAATTAAAATAATGTCATTTAACATCACTGGTCAAAACTCCAATAGCTTACTACTATCAACTGCCTACTCCATGTGCTATCAATTCAGTCTAGCTTTCAATGCACGACAGAGTCAAGATCACGCTTCCACTACTTCACAAAAACCTCCAATGAAGCAGATGTTACTTTTAGATAAGCTTCAACTTGCTTTCGCCACTGTGTCCTCTGCTCAGCTTATCATGACAAATCCATTCTGATCCACAGAGAGATCACAGCCCTCCTAGCAGTTACTTGCTACCTCATACACTTACTTCCTCTATTAATCATATCATTCAACTAGACTAGAAGCTAGAATTACGTATCTCATCTTTTGTGTACCTTCTTCAGTGTAAACATAAGACACTAAATACACGGCATCCAAGCAGTTAAGAGCAGAAACTGAAGTAGGTTCAGTCCAAGCTCCACAATAATAGCTACATTACCTCAGAAAAAATGCCTAATCTTTGTTTATTCCTCTCCTTATCTATTAAGAGAACAGAACCCTATACCCTCATTCTACTGATACGAATTTTCTGCAAGATAGCTAATATAAAACATTTGGCATCATGCCAAGCATGCAAATCTAGACATTAATACATTAAAATACACTAATATAAACATTAGCTGTTCTATTAGTTGCACTGAAATTTTACACAGCCATCAAAAATATATACACACATATACAAACACCCAGATACAACTAATTCTCAGTTTATCTACAGTGGTTTCAACAGAAATCTAAATGAGAATAATCAGAGAAGGCACATGCCTAACAGGAACTGGTATTTCCTTACTAGATCAGGTAAGACTGGAACTTCAGCAATGCTCTAGCCAATACTTGTACTCTTAGTAAATTAAATCTTAAACTTGTCCTTTTCCCAAATCCACTGGAGCATTCTCTTCAACTATCCTCAACTTTCGGTCTTTTAAAATGAAGATGAGGCCACTAGGCGTGTTCTGTGGGACCATATCCATCCTCTTCTCCAATCTCAGAAAACAGCACTCCTACTGGAGATTAATCCCATCCATCTTTATTGACCTATATATTAAATATTTGGGTTTCAGGGTTCAATCCTTATCCCATTCCCCTTTCACAGGATTGCTCCTTCCTGCCTTCTCTCATTCAGTCATGGTTTAAATTGTCACTCTAAAATTGGGAAAACAGTTTTGAAGGAAAGACTAACCGTATGTCTTCCTGTTAAATGCATATACATTTATAAAATTGAATTTACCCCCACATATATCTGAGGAAAAAGTAAACTAAGCGAACATTTTAAAATTTAACAATGTATTAATCTATACTAATCATCAAATCCCCATACAAAAATAACAATGCTCATTTATCATTCAAATAGGTAATATAATTAAGATCTTACTTATTAACATCGGAACCAAAATCTTCAAGAAATTCCACTTTTCTCTGAGAAAATGTAATTCTCATTTTAATAGGTAATGAACCATGTACAGCTTTGTCAAAACAATTTAGGATATTTTCTTCATTTTGTTTGAGGTCACCACTATATTCCATTTCAAGTAAATTGAGGTATAACTTTGTATTCTCCTGTGTAAAAAGCAGCATCATTAATATTTCTAATATATTTTTATTAGAGCACAGATATTTAAAATGCCTTAGTTTTTGTCTCAATTTGAAAAAAAAAATGAAAATTGTTTTGTATTAAAATACAACTCATGCTAAATGTTTTCGGCATATATCTAAAAGGGTGAAAGAATTCATTAACACACTGATGAATTTTTCAATCAATTGATCATTCTAGTATCTCCTAAACAATACAAATTGTTAAATGCCAATAAATTAAAACTATATCCTATCTTGTATTTAGTATGACTTGACTTACCATGACCATTAGAAAATAAAACATAAAAAAATTATCTCTATGCTTCAAATAATTTAAATCTTTACTACAACTATAGATAAACATCTTAACTGGGCCTGGTGGCTCATGCCTATAATCCCAGCACTTTAGGAGCCCAAGGCAGGAGGATCACTTGAGGTATGAAGTTTGAGACCAGCCTGGCCACCATGGTAAAACCCCATCTCTACTAGAAATACAAAAATTAGCTGGCATGGAGGCGCACACCTTTAATCCCAGCTACTCGGAAGGCTGAGGCAGGAGAATGGCTTGAACCCAGGAGGCGGAGGCTGCAGTCAGCTGAGATCACGCTACTGCAATCCAGCCTCGGTGACAATGACTCTGTCTCAAAAAAAAAAAAAACACCGCCAAATGAGGTGGCTCACGCCTGTAATCCCAGCACTTTGGGAGGCCGAGGCAGGCAGATCACCTGAGGTCTGGAGTTCAAGATCAGCCTCACCAACATGGTGAAACCTCGTGTCTACTAAAAATACAAAAATTAGCTGGACACGGTGAGCGTGCCTGTAATCCCAGCTACTCGGGAGGCTGAGACTGGAAAATTGCGTGAACCCGCGTGGCAGAGGTTGAAGTGAGCCAAGATGGCACCACTGCACTCCAGCTTAGGTGACAGAGCAAGACTGTCTCCAAAAAAAAAAAAAAAAAAAGATAAACCTCTTAAACTGCAGCTAGAAGCAAACTGCTATAAATCTTTATCTTAAACAGACCTGGCAATAACTAAAATCCTAAAACCTGAGAAATGACCTATTCCTGTACACTGCCTTTTTCAACTGATACATAAAAAGTACTCTATGGAGAAACTAAATCATCTCACTCCCAAATGTGCTTACAACACAGGCAATGCTTATGCTTTTGTTTATAAAGTATTCTCCCAAGTCCTCTGTTCTACTTAATAATCAGTAAATTTGTTGATAATTTCTAAAGGGAAAATATAAAGTATCACAATGTCTACAACAATTTTAACCCAATAATCTTATGTCTCAAACTTTTAATTCAAAACAATTTGAAAAAATTTTTTAAATGGCAACATCAGTTTAGAGGGACTGTTGTCCTCATTTAGTAATAAAACATATTACATACAGACCAAATCTTTCATCACAGTTGCCACAGTGAAAATACACTGACCACTGGTGTTTTTATAGAAGATACTCTTAAAAATACAAATGCATACTTTGTCTCTTTCGATTGCTTCCAAAAGCACCTTTCTTGATTTTGGAAGGTTTTTCTGTATTTTGAAAAGATGCCGGGCTAGTTTGACAGCATAAAATGAAGATTCATTATTTGATTTGGCATTCTTAATGGCATCCTGAAGCAAATGTTCAGCTTCTTCCAGATTTCCATGCCGTCGTTCTAAACTTACTCTTCGTAAACGAACCATTGCCAACCCTAGAACACATTCTTCAAATGTTCTCAAGATATTCCTGGCTTCATTAATATTACCTAGAAACAGTAATTAAATGTTTATGCTTTGCTTTAAACAACTAAAATAATGTTTATAACCACATACTGGCAACAATCACCCAGGGGCTAAATCCAGCAACTAAAGGGAAACAGCCACACATATTTACATACTGCCTAGGGCTGTCTGGGGGCTACAATGGCTTGCAAAGCCTAAAAGTCAGAACACATGGCTTATAAAGCCTAAAATATTTACTATCTGGCCCTTTAGAGAAAAAGTTTGCCAAACTCTGCTTTACACCATCCCTTACTACTCAATTTGTTACCACTGTTTCCTGAAATAACTGAAAATCTCAAAAATATCAATTGAATTTCTCCACTCTTACCCTGCTGCTCCTCAAAAGCTGCCCAAAGCATATGCACCATGGGTTTCTTTGGGAGATGTATAGTACAAGCTCTGCTGAAGACATGCCTCACTCCTTCAATGCTATGGTTTTCCATGTACTTGGCATACTACATACAGAAAAGAGGAAATACTGAATAATTTACAGTTGAACAAGTCATTAAATTTGTGACAGAACGATAAAATTCTATTTTTAAACCCATTCAGCACCTTTATTGAACCACTAGACTAGTTTCTGTAAGGAAGGACGAAGAGAGGCAACGAGGTTGGCATATGCAGCAGTCAAATCTGGTTGCAAGCAGACCATCTCCTAATGCAACAGATATAGTTATATGAACAACATTCAACAGAAGTACAAAAAAGGTTAGTCACTAGATCAATGTTTATAATATATTCAAGTTTAAGAGCACATGATTTTCTTACCTTAATCCAAAACTCCTCATAGAGGGCACATGATATGACACATCTTTCAAAGAGAACCACAACTCGTTCATGAGTCCCATTTTCAATTTCAAATTCTAAGTATTCCTTCCAGTTTTTTAGTTGTGCCTTTTCCAAAGGTTTCACATGAAAGTAAGGTCTTTTAATCTGTAATGAAATTGTAACATGCCAATGAAAGTAAACCAAATCACCAAAATATGCACAAGCACAGTGTTAATACAAATTATTTTAAATATAATTGATAATTAAAATTTTTTAATCGTATTTCATAATTTAAAAAACTTTTAAAATTAAAAATCCCTTAAATTCCTTAAGCTTCACAAATGAAATAATACATTTTCTATTTCTTCTGCCATTTTGCCAATTACATGCTTTTTAATGTACAGAACATTTTATACTTTGTTGAAAATTTTAAAATTGAACAACCATAGTGACAGAAAGCAGATCAATGGCTGCCTAGGGCTAGGAGTAGAGAAGGGGAACTCTGGCTGGAAAGGGGCCAAGGGGACCTTTGCAGTGCTAAAAGAGTTCTGTCTGTATCTTGATTGCTGTGATGACTACAATGTACATACATACATCTGTGAAATGATTCCATATTCTAAGATTCCATTCATATGAAAGGCCATTATAGGGAAATCAACAGAAACAAAAAGCAGATAGTGGTACCTTAACACTGGGGGTAGAGGGTTGCAGCTGAGGAGGTAGGGGTAGTGACAACTAAAAGTTAAGGTGTTATTTTTTGAGGTGGTGATTATGTTTAAAAATTGACTGTGGTGATGGTTGTGCATATCTGTGAATATACTAAGAACTATTGAACTGTACACTTTAAATGGGTGAATTATATGGCATGTAAATTATCTCAGTAAAGCAGTCAGGAAAAAAAAAAAAAAAAAACAAAGAATTAAAACTGTGGGAAATTACCTCATTTTACTATAAACCTAAAATGGGTGAATTATAATGTATGTAAAGTATAACCCCATGAAGTTGACTTTTAAAAATTGAACAATTAGAATAAAATTGTTCAGATTAAGCAGATATCTTGCAATTCAAGTAAATCTGAATTCAAACATTCTAAAACTGATTAGGGAAAATGGAAAAACTGATAATGATTATAATAAATGAGACGAACATCTGAAGTTATGGCTTAAATATGCAAAAATAAAATTACAACAGAGATAGTACTATCAAAATTGAAAGAAAAATAAATTATTCGTACTTCGTATTTTAAAGACTGTTAGAAAACACTTACACCTTCTTCAAATGTCCACCTTTTACTAACTTCATGCTCATTATAATTAAACATTTCTTGATGAATCTCAATGATTCTATGTCTCATGTTTTCTATTTCTGTAATTAACTTGGGAAGAAAAAGGGAAAAAATAAATCTCACAAACTATACTGAACATTTTCAGTATCACTGCTTACATTTCAGTATTATTCACAGATATTTTAGTCTTAGAATAGTGGTAGATTTTTAACTGTTGACAATTATGTGCAAAATCCAATTAACACATCACACAACTTATCACACAACTTCCTAATTAGCCACTTTCATACATTTCTTTTTTTTTTTTTCTTACATTGGGATAGCAGATTCACAACCTAGGCAAAATATTCCTTCTAAGCTAAGTTTATCTTGGGGTGTCTCGTAGTAGAAGTACTCAATCCCCACTTGCCTTAAACAGAAATTAATTTCAAACAAGCTACAAGTCACTGGGTAAATGGCCGGCTATATAAGTGATCACTGTGCTACTCATGGAGTCAAGGGATAACAGGTCCAGTTTCTTCTGCACTGAAGACCTTTTTTTTTTTCCTGAGATGGAGTCTTGCTCTATGGCCCAGGCTGGAGTGCAGTGGTGCCATCTCAGCTCACTGCAACCTCTACCTCTCAGGTTCAAGCAATCTTCCCACCTCAGCCTCCCAAGTAGATGGGACTACAGTCATGTGCTACCACACCTGGCTAATTTTTGTACGTTTAGTATAGACGGGGGTTTCACCATGTTGCCTAGACTGGTCTCAAACTCTGGACCCCACGTGATTCGCCTAACTTGGCCTCCCAAAGTGCTGGGATTACAGGCATAAGCCACCACACCTGGCCACTGACGAACTTTAGAATAAGACTGGTTACCTTTGCAGGATCAGTTATGTCTTCAATTCCCGATGGTAGATCATCACCAGGGGGACCATCATCACCACTATGTCCATTTACAGAAGCTAACTCCCTTCGCAACTGAATAAACTGTTCACCAGTTAAAAGATCTCTAGGCAAGTTATTCTGTACATGTTCTTTAAATCTAAAGGAAGACAATAAAAATATATATTCTATATTTGAATCATAATTTTAGATCTCATATTGAGATTCCTACTACATACTACTCTTTCAAAGGATTTGATTTAAAGAAAGAAACCAAAATATCATAACTTTTCTCCTTCTTTTCTATATTAAAACTCTACCATATATGATAAAACACTACCATATGATAAAACAGTCTATAAACATCTTCCACTTCTTCCTTCCTTTACAGTAGAATGGAGAAGGCATGGACGGGCATAAACTGAAACCTCAGTTCTGTCTGTTACTGGTTATCTGACTTAAGGGAAGTTTTTCCTTTCTCTAAATCTTAGTTTCCTCAACTGTAGAATAAGATGATTAATACCTATTATTTGTGTGTCATAGAATCTATTTTACTACGAAGACACACAAGTCACAGTAAAATTAAATATTGTGATCCACATTTAAATTCTAAATGATCACTTGTAAATAATCAACAAATATAGCATTTCCTTCCCACCTCCCAAATACTCTTCAATCTACGTGAGTACGCAAAAATCCAATGAAACTTCCTAATTAAGGTTATCAATTACCTCATATATAAAATTAAATGGACACTTGTTTTGTAGTATGGTCCTCCAAGCCTCTGACTGCTGCTCTATGTCCTATTCCCCTTCCTACCTGCCCTAAATGCTACTATTCCCAAGAATTTCACTCTCCAGTTGGTTCTCATCTATTTTTATTAATACATAACTCTGGCCAATCTCACTGATACAGCTTGAAATAAGTATACCATGGTGACTCTCAAGACTATAACACAAGTCCAAACCTTTCTCCTAATCAGATTAGCATATCCAACTGCCAATACTCTGCACAAAGAAATATAGATTAGTTTTAAGCTAATCTATAAAAAGATTTTTGAAAAAAAAATCATTTCGCTATTTTATAAAAACATGCAATAATTTGTATATATACAAATTTTAATCAAAAACACCAAGTTGAGGAGCTAAAATATCTACACCATCACAATTTGAACATATCTTTGGAACCTCAAATATGAAATATCTTAAAGTAAGCATGGCATCTTCATCTGAAAATGAATACCCTCAGCATTTCTTTCTTTGTGTGTGTGTGTGTGAGATGGAGTCCCGCTCTGTTGCCCAGGCTGGAGTGCCATGGTGACATCTTGGCTCACTGCAAGCTCCACCTCCCAGGTTCAGGCAATTCTCCTGCCTCAGCCTCCCAAGCAGCTGGGATTACAGTTGCGCACCACCACGCCCAGCTAATTTTTGTATTTTTAGTAGAGACAGGGTTTAACCTTGTTGGTCAGCCTGGTCTTGAACTACTGACCTCAGGTGATCATCTGCCTCAGCCTCCCAAGCACCTGCTCACGCCTGTAATCCCAGCTGAGGTGGGCAGATCACCTGAGGTCTGGAGTTCAAGACCAGACTGGCAAACATGGTGAAACACGTCTGTACTAAAAATACAAAAATTAGCCAGGTGTCGCGGCGGGCACCTGTAATCCCAGCTACTCGGGAGGCTGAGGCAGGAGAATCACTTGAACCTGGGAGGTGGAGGCTACAGCGAGTGAAGAATGCATCACTGCAATCCAGCCTGGGCAACAGAGCGAGATTCCATCTCAAAAAAAAAAAAAACAAGTATATAAATAACACTGGAATCTAATTTAAATTTTGCAAAGTCAATGGTTACAGAGGCTAACAGCCCATTTCAGTACCAGGAGGAAAAAAATTAACACAGATTGCCTCATGTTAAAAAATTAAAAATGAGGAAGTAACTCTCAAATATGTAGTATGAAAAAACAGATTTAATTACAGATGAATATTAAAACTCAAAACTGTCAACATATGAATTAAAAAACTTAAAATAAGGTAAAATTTTAAAATACATACAGTACATAAATCTAAAATGACTTGATTGCTACATCATGTAACGACTTCTTTAAAACAGTGACAAAATGTGCATAATATTAAACAGTATTTTTTCAGCAGCTTTTTGTATTATAAAGCTAACATTTATTCAGTAAAGACTGGCTGAGTGTCTCATACATATTGAGGTCTATTCTTAGGTATTAGAGATACAAAGAATTATGCCTCAGAAACTGACAGGCATGTTGAGGATATAGGAGACATAAATTCAAAGCAGTGTTACTGGTGCTGATATAAATGTAAACAAATGTAGGTAAAGTGGTGGCACAAACGACAGACTAGATATCTCAATATAGGTGAACCAGAGAAAATTTCACAGAGAAGACACAAAACTGTGTGGTCTCAAGGAATATGAGTCCACTAGACAAGTGGAAAGAGGAAAAGGTATTACAGTCATAAAGATATAAAACAGCATTGCCCTTTTGGAAGTTATCAGACTTAGGTGTGTTTAGAGCTCAGGAACTACCAGGGATTGGACCTGGATATTAGACCAGATCACAAAGTCCTCACACTAAAGTTTTAAATTAGACATTATCTCAGAGATAATGTGCAGGGTACATCCCATATACAAGCCTAATGCACAAGCACAATAAAGTATTTCCATTATTACTGTATAGCACTTAGAATACGTTTTTTAACACATGCCTCCTCCTCTATCCTTCTGACCAACTCACAGGCATGCTATCTTCTTCGTGCCTTCATTCCCACAACTTAGCCTATCAACAGGTACACAGCAAATGCTAAATAAATGACTTTAAGAAAGAAGCATGTGTTACTGGAAAAAAAAAAAATTCAGTGGTTCTCAAAGTAATTCAAAGTCATGTGAATTAGTTAACTTATATAAACTGTAAGAACTGCATAAAGACTACTTGTGAGTTTGCTATAACTGATAAGGAAAGTGGTTCTAAATGCATTCAGTGAAAAATAGCAGATTATAGATCAGTATGTGTAATATAATCCCACTAATATCTATTATAAGTATATACGCATTTTTAAAAGCGTAGGGTAACTGATGACTTAAAGAAAAATAAATAAATAAAAGCCTGGTGGGATAATTATTTAGAAATAAAAAAGGACTTGTAGGATAACATATCAAAAACTTTAGGGCCATACTGTCTAGGTTCCAAGTAGCTTCCAATCACTTACAAACTCTGTGGCCTTAGATAAATATGCTCATCTCTCTGTGTCTCCCCTTTCATAAAATGGGAACAATAGTCCTTGCCTCACTGGGTTACTGGGAGGATTAAGTGAATCGTAACACACTCAGCAGAGTGTCTGGGATATAGAAAATGCTATGTGTGTTTCCTACACATACTTTTTTTCATCATCAGTAAAGTCTTGTAGTCATAGATTTTTCCTATACTTTAAATCACAGAAGAACTAGTCTATGAAAAGACACCCTCTTTGGCCCATCAGGTAATTTAAGTACGTTTGTACTTATGTGTTCGGTAACTATTTACCAAGCATTTCCATATGCCAATTCTTGCTTGTGTTAACGTCTTTCAGCAAGTGTCTTCCCTGGTCATTGTATCTTAGAAACCTGCCTACTTCCTCTATTTCATCGAAAGCAGAAAGTATATGCCTATCTATATGCTTCCTATTTCTAACCTGAGTCTGTATAACTTCTACCTCTAGCAAACTGTTGTACTTTACAAATACTTCATAAAAGTCTTCTACTTTTGGTAGTAAAGAAAACTTTAGAAAATCACTCACTTAAAAAGTACCTAAGTTTATTCAAGACTGCTCATAAAAATTATAACAAAAAATAGAAAACATGTCAATTTTAAAAAAGCAAAGACACAATCCTCATACTTGTTCAGAAAGACTTTCTGGATCCTTATTGATGTAATACTCTGAATAAAGCAGAAAACAAAACACAAAAATAATGACACACAGAATAAGTTGTTTTAACAGTAATCATTAAAAGGATACCAACCATAACAGAAAAATCATGGTAGAAAATTAAAATGGAATGATACCTGATTATTTGAAAATAGATACTACTTACTATACAAAATGCATCCTTCACTGTTTTGGATATAAGGTGTTATAGCAATCACAAGAATGTATATTTAGCAAATCATTAAGTTTAAAAAAAATAAGCATCTATCATGTGCCAGGCACTGTGTCAATTTAATGCCATAAATAAATAACTAAACTTGCTATTTGCTCATTCCTTCACTACTCTGAACTACCTTAGACAAGACAGAATTCCTGTGTTTCTTTATCTATTAAAATGAATAAGGAAAAACTTCTAACTAAAAACAGTAAAATTTCTAAACATTTCATAAGGCATATGAAAAAAATGTCAAAAGCAAGCATGTAGGTTGTGATTAGCAACAAAATTTATTCCTCTTTCCAAGTAATAAAAGCTTACATAACATTTCAAGAGAATTATAATACTTAATATTATCAACTATCTGAGTAATCAAAGATGTTTCAAAGATCAGAATTTCCCACCTACCTCTGAAAATGATGACTATACAGCTGCGTTGGAATACCAAGAATACGATCATATATAGCTGTAACTTCTCTCAGGTTTCCCTGCTCATTTTCCCAGTTTATATACATTTCCCACAGTCTGTCAGAACGGAAATCTGTTCCTGCAGCTAGAACAGCATGCTCAAAAGTTCTGAAAAATTAAATTACTCTTAAGTTATCTTTCCAAGACAAAATCACTTATAAAATATTTCTAAATTTAAAAAATAATGCTAACTTCAAAAATTATATTCAACTGTTTCCTATGCAAGTAGGGATTAAACAGTAGACAGAATAACAGAAAGCATACAAGAGTTGCTTAAAAAGAGTGAGAAAACAAAGGGAACAGTTAAATGTACTTTATGTAATTTTATCATATAGAAAATACAAAATGTACACATTGCAAATAGGTAAGAGCAGACATTTAAGTATTTGTTAAATCTGAAATGTCTGTTGTATAGATTCATTTATGACAGAAGACAAAATTAAAACAAGCAGGAAGTTAAAGAGAGGCAAATTTTATCTCAATTTAAGAATATTTTCACCAGGCGTGGTGGCTCATGCCTGTAATAGCAGCACTTTGGGAGGCCAAGGCGGGAGAATCACCTGAGGTCAGGAGTTCAAGACCAGCCTGGCCAACATGGTGAAATCCCATCTCTTCAAAAATACAAAAATTAGCTAGACATGATGGCAGGTGCCTGTAATCCCAGCTATTTGGGAGGCTGAGGCAGGAGAATCGTTTGAACCCAGGAGGTGGAGGCTGCAGTGAGCCGAGATCGCGCCATTGTACTCCAGACTGCGCAACAGAGACCCCGTCTCAAAAAAAAAAAAAAAAGAATATTTTCAAGCAAAAATAATTCTCCAACAAGGAATCTGGCTGCCTTGTAAGATAAGTATACAAAGGCCAGGCACAGTGGCTCACGCCTGTAATCCCAGCACTTTCGGAGGTCAAGCCAGATGGATCACAAGGTCAGGAGTTTCAGACCAGCCTGGCCAGCATGGTGAAACCCCGTGTCTACTAAAATACAAAAAATTAGCCAGGCATGGTGGCACATGCCTGTAGTCCCAGCTACTTGGGAGGCTGAGGCAGGAGAATTGCTTGAAGCCAGCAGGCAGAGGTTGCAGTGAGCCGAGATTGCGCCACTGCACTCCTCCAGACTGGGTGACAGAGCGCGACACTGTTTCAAAAAAAAAGTATACATATACTTTAAACCTCTCAAAACCCTGTCTCAATTCTAAAATTCTATCATTAAAATTTATCACAGGCTGGGCACAATGGCTCACGCCTATAATCCCAACAAATGAGGCCAGGAGTTTGAGACCAGCCTTACCAACACAGCAAAACCCCATCTCTGCTAAAAATACAAAAATTAGCTGGGTGTTGTGGTACACATCTGTAACCCGAGCTACTCAGGAGTCTGAGGCATGAGAATCACTTGAACCTGGGAGGCGGAGGTGACAGTGAGCTGAAATTGCACCACTCACCACTGCACTCTGGCCTGGATGACAGAGCAAGACTCTGTCTCCAAGGGGGGAAAAAAAAGTTTGTTACAAAGTATTTTAAATTACCTAGTCATGTCAAGAGATTTCTGCAAGCAATTTTAATCACTAGATTTAATACTCCAATGAGATAAAGCTTTTAGATACATACTTTTAAGTATCTTAAAATCAAGAGAAATTTTTTAAAAGTATAAAACTACACTCCTTAAGTTAACCCACAATTTTAACACAATTTCAATAAAGCACTAAAAAATGTTGAGTGGAACAAGAAAAAATCAAATTCCACTATTCATCTAGTATACAAAAATGCAAAATGACTTTGTAAAAAGATAATGCAGCAGGCATTTTCCTGAAAGATAATATAAGAAACTAGGAAGCTACAGTAATTACAAGTTTGGCACTGGCCAGGTAACAGAAAAATGGATGAACAGTACAGAGCCAAGAAAACAAAAAGAGATCAATGTATGTGAATATTTGGTGTATGATATATAATAGGAAAATATAAAATATAAAATAAAAATGTCTATCTCATGACAGATAGAAATTAAAGTCAGATAAATGAATAAGTGAAAAACTACAGAAAAGTTAGAACAAAATACAAGATTTATATGTTTTTGGCAAAATAGGCACAAAACTCAGAAACCAGTAAGAATTAAAACAGAAGCACATTAAGGAAAAATAAAACTCCATATGATAAAAGACACCATAAAAAAAGTTAAAGACATACCAACATTGGAGGAAATGTTTAATATAGAGATAAACAATTGAAGAGCATGTGTGTATGTGTGTCTGTGCATGCATGCATGTGCACATGTGGTGTAAGGTTTCCTAAAGAATAAAATAGATGTTACTGTCCCTACAGAATCCCAAATGATTCAGAAAAATAACCAGACACTGAAAAAAGTATAGAGAAAAGGGGAAGAAGATAAGAAGGTAATGAAATAAAGACAGAACGTTTAGAAGAAGGTATACTTAATGAATGGTGAGAAATCTTCAACTTTCCCGCCCAGCTATAGGGACTTACTTGAGAAGCTAGCTTTCCATTCCCCAGGTAAATAAAATTATCCTTTTCTAAAGAAACTGCTTGGCTCAGGAATAAAATATAAGGTTACTATCACTGGGAATCCACCAGCAAAAAAGAGTGGCCACATGATTACGCTGCTGCGAAACCCTATAGGCCAACTGACAATATCCCATACAAAACACACAGTGCTTCCATATAGGTTGTTTTTTTTTTTTTTTTTTTTGCGAAACCCTATAGGCCAACTGACAATATCCCATACAAAACACACAGTGCTTCCATATAGGTTGTTTTTTTTTTTTTTTTTTTGAGACAGGGTCTCACTCTGTCACCCAGTTTGGAGTGCAATGTCACGATCTCAGCTAACTACAACCTCCGCCTTCCAGGTTCAAGCAATTCTCCTACCACAGCCTCCTGAGAAGCTGGGATTACAGACTCCTGCCACCATACCCAGCTAATTTTTTTGTATTTTAAGTAGAGACAGGGTTTCACCATGTTGGCCAGCCTGGTCTCGAACTCCTGACCTCAAGTGATCCACTGTGCCTAGCTCATACAGCTTGTTAATATCTAATCTGTAATAGGAATAAAAATCCAGAGATCAGGTATCTCAGAGACGAAAATGAGTAAACAGAAAAATTTCAGAGGAAACAGTCCTGGGAACAGAGGAAAACCTCAACTATCCTTAGTATCGTCAAAGAAAACGAAAAGATATGCAGCCATGAAACAAGAACTGGAGAGTATAAAAAAAGGAACACTCAGAGAACAAGAAAGATTCTTGGATATTAAGAATCTGAGCGGGGAGCAGTGGCTCACACCTGTAATCCCAGCACTTTGGGAGGCCAAGACGGGCGGATCATGAGGTCAGAAGATTGAGATCATCCTGGCTAACACGGTGAAACCCCATCTCCACTAAAAGTACAAAAAATTAGCCAGGCATGGTGGTAGGTGCCTGTAGTCCCAGCTACTCATGAGGCTGAGGCAGGAGAATGGCATGAACCCAGGAGGTGGAGCTTGCAGTGAGCCGAGATTACGCCACTGCACTCCATCCTGGGGGACAGAGATTCTGTCTCAAAAAAAAAAAAGAATCTGATGGAAGATGTTAAAAATCCAATACAAGAGTCAAGGAAGTACCTCAAAAAGCCAGACAGTCTAAGATATGAAAAATAGGAAGAAGAAAAGAAAAACTCAGTAATTAAGAGAGGAGGTCCAATATCCAACTATTAAAAACAACAGAGACAATCAAGGCAAGGAAATTGTCAAAATAAGAATATCCATCATAATAACATTTCTAAGAATAGAAGGATATTAGAATCTCAGATTGAAGACTCACCCAATCACCCAATAATCACAATAAGAAAAAGAAAATCCATATCAAAGCTCATTTTTATAAAACTGCATTTACATCAGACTCAAAGAGAACATCCTAACAGCTTCCACGGAGGAAAAACATGTTACAGAAAGAGAATCTATTCTAGAAGAATGATTTTGGACCTCTCAAAAGCAACAGCAGAAGCTATAAAGGAATAAATAATGCCTTCAAAGCTCTACAGAGAAAATAATTTTCAACTCCAAATTCTATAGCTTACCAAACCTTAAAATTATTTTTTCATCCAAGCATCCTTTAACAAGAAGTTACAGAACACACTCTTCTAAAAGTTGGACATAAAATCAAAAAAGAGTGAGATCTAATAATACTCTCCCAGAAGTGACGTAAAGACATCTCCTAGAACCATGATGATACGAAAATCCCAAGACAACTCTTGTACAGCAGAACTAGAAGACCAGTCCAGATTATAGTAGAAAGGTTTCCAGGAGAGACAGCTCAAAGGAGAGGAAAAAATGGGACTTACACATTTTTTAACAGGTCTGATTATATAGAAAGCTATATTTAAAGCCTTCTACAAAGCTGTTGGAGAATATGAAAAAACCTTAAATGTTCAAAGAAAATTAGACAAATGGGAAAAATGAGGGGCAGAGGAGGAGAAATTAAAAACCAAAAAGGTTATAAAAATGAAAGGGCAGTATGATGAAAAATATTTATAGGTTTTTGATCTTTTTTTTTTTTTTTTGAGACAGAGTCTTGCTCTGTCACCCAGGCTGGAGTGCATGGCACGATCTCGGCTCACTGCAACCTCCACCTCCCGGGTTCAAGAGATTCTCTTGCCTCAGCCTCCCGAGTAGGTGGAACTACAGGCATGCGCCACCACACCCAGCTAATGTTTATTTTTGAGACAAGGTCTCACTCTGTCACTCAGGCTACAGTACAGTGGTACAATCACGGCTCACTGCAGCCTCAACCTCCTAGGCTCAAGCACTCCTCCCACCTCAGCCTCCCAAGTGCTGGGAATACAGGTATAAGCCACTGTGCCCACCCTTATTTATGGATTTACAATGATTAAAAAAAAAACACTGAAGTTGATTATTGAAACCTATCCTGTAGCTATATTGGAAAGGAATGGGAAAACAAAGTGTAAGTGGGTTAAAATTCTCATTTACCGTAACAGATACATAATGTCTACAACTAACAGAGAAAGAAAGAAAGCAACGTAGATTTACTGTTATACACGTGGTGGAAAATACCAGAAGAAAGAGCTGAAATATTTGAAGGGAGGTGGAGGGGGAACTTTTTGTTACGAGCAGTAATTAGCTAACTTCTTAAGCAATATGCAAATGCTTTTTTTGAAAATCGAAAACAAATACATTAACAAACTACCGTAATCAAGAAAAAGATAATGTAATAGAAAACTGAGCAAACGATATCAACAGGTAATTTAAGAAATGGCTTATGTAAGCATATGAGAAGATGGTAAACCAGGATGAGCAATCAAGATATACACAAATTAAAACAGAGATGCCACTGGAGGTAAAACAAACAAAAAATGTGGCACAGCTGTGGGAAAATGATTATTTTCATACACTGTGGGAGTTTAGAATTGATACCATTTTTGAAGGAACATGTGATAAAACTTAGCTCTGTGTTCCCTTTAACAGAAGTTCCATTTCTAGTGCATTCTACAAAAATATTGACTTGTACAGAGATGTTCACTGTAGCACTGATTATTTCCTATAAATAAGGATTTGGTGAAATACAGTAGAGTACTTTGGCTTATAAGTTACTTTTTATAAAGTATTATAAAATACTTTTTGTAATGGTTAAAAAATATGGCAAGAAGAGATTCCCAAACACTGCTTTAAAAAAAAAAGTCAAAGACCAATATGAAAACATACGCACAAATATGTACTTATACATACATCTGAAAGCACACACACCAAGCTATTAACCATGAGGAGTGGAACTGGGGACATAAGGGGTATGGAATGTAGGAGGGCTTTATTATCTGCATTTTCAAATCATGAAGCATAAGTTTATTATATGTATTTTTTTTTAACAATGGAATAGAAGTTAAACTTCCAGCTTAGCTTTCATGAGCTCTATTATCAACATGAGAATAATTATTTATATCATTAAAAAAATTTCAGTATCAATGTTCCACATACCCTCTTATTGTATTGTTTGTCTCAGGATCACCAGGGTCCAGTGTTTCTTTTAAGAAGTTTATATAATGTATCCAAAGGTCAACACTAAGAGGTATTGCCTGAAGCCCCCGCCGATAAACCTAAGAAGAAAACAGCAAACTGTACTTCAAATATTTAATTATTTCTTAACAGAGAGGCAACACTGTGTTATCCGGTGAACCTTAGAAATACTAATTACTGGAATTTTGTTTAAATAATCTACCATTACCATTTGGGTGGAGGTTGGATAGAACATGGCAATGTTCTGATCCCCACGTGCAGAGTCTTGATCTTCAAAGCGCAGCAGTCCCTGCATTCTGACCGGGTTGTGTGGGCAGGCTTTGGGTTACAGACCATAGGGCACAGACCCATTAGAGCATCAATGACAGCGTCTGACCAAAAATGCAATAAGACGTAGCAAATGTGACTAGCAAACCAACTATATTGTTTGGAAAATGAGAAATAAATGTAAGTGAGAGAAAAGCCCTGCCCTACTTGTTAAGCTGCAGTGTAATACAGAGGCTTGCACTGCAAAGCTTGACAAACTGTAGAGGTTTAACGCACCTGCCAACAAAGAGAGAAAATATTAGCTACAAATGCCACAAGAGTGACAAATGCAAATAAATACCCTATAAAAATTGTTTGACCATAAATGGTAGGTACTGCCAGCCAAAAAAAAAAAAAAAAAAAAAATCTTTGTTTTGTTATTAATTGGCTTACAGTACCTATTGGAGATAAGTTTATTGAGTGATGTACGCACCTCATCTGATGGTTTAATGTTGTCGTGCCGCTTTTCAAGGTCCGCATACTTTTTCCAGTAACCATAGCAATACGGATAGTGTATGAAAAATCTGTCAAATGCTTTCCTGGCAGCCATCAAGTGATTCTGATAAAAATGAAACAGTATTTAAATATCGTGGAAATTGCTGTCAAAAAAATATTTATTATTCCTTTCAAACGTTATTATCTAAAAAAATAATAATAAATGGCAGGCTTAAAAACTCCACATGCAGGCTGCTCTGCCGATGGAGCAGCCCTTCTTTTATTCCTTGACTTTTTTTCTTCTAAATGCAACTGAAACAGAAGAAACTAATTTTGTCAACATTTTATTTCAACAATTTTACACACACACTTACACCTCAATTATTACAAAATATTAAGCTTTGACACTACTGACTCTCTACAACATACAAAAGCTATAAGCTATTTTCAAAGCTAAAAATGTATCTACCTAATGTTATTCAACTTCATTTGAAAATTATGAGTTGATTTTAATCATAAATAAGGTCTACTGTTTCATTATAAATTAACATGACTTGATTAATTTGTCCCTTCTGATACCATTTTAATAGTTACTAACCTCCTGTTCTACATATTGAAGCAAATATACCCAGCCTGTAAAATCCTGAGGATTATTTTCCACAGTTTTCCAAAATTTTTCATATTCTGGAGGGAAATTTGCTTCTGTTTCTGTCAGCGTCACTGGAAGGTCCACAGCACTTGCCATTTCACTTTCTTCTGTAGATGCATTCACATTGGGAGAGTCATCAGGTGACTGTTCCATTTCTGTAACATTCATAATCTCAGTACTGAAATCAGTAGGATGTTCTACCACTACCTCTGAACTATTGCCTGTGCTGCCATTACTAGAATTTCTGTATTCATCCATGTGAGAATTTTGCATATTGTCTTCAGTAAATGATCTGTGGAAACACAAAAAAGAGAAATATCTTCCAAATGCCAATAAAATTATTTGGTCTCAACAACATCTTTTAAAAAGCCCTAATTTGGCTATTAAAGAAATGTGATTCTTAATCCCCTACAAGTCAGAATCAGAAGGTTCATTAGTTTTTATATTATAAATAAAATTATAAATTCTTCACAAAACTGCCATTTTATTGTTGATATTTGAATAAAAACTAAATAACTACAGATTTGTTACCTCATTCATAAAACAAGTAAGTTGACTGCTACCTAACAAAGAAATACTATTTAAAATTCAATGTTTCTGATTTAGGTAAGAATCTGATTCGGTGCCCGAATGTTACCTTGCTATGAATCACTGGAAAACGGCATATTTTTAATAACTGTTCTGGAGGCTAAAAGTAAAACTGACAAAAATTCTGGTCATGGATATAAACATTTCAAAAGGAAGCTCATCACTTGGCTCAGGATAAAGTTTTAGAAAAGATAAATTCATATTGCTTAAATATATCTATCTATTTATGAATTATAAATCCTGACAGCTAGGTTTCAAATTTATTATAGAAGATAAAAATTATGGTTTTAAAAAATTAAAAAGTAATTTTTAAAGTGAATAAATGTTACTTAAAATACATTTAAGGGGCCAGGCATGGTGGCATACAGCTGTAGTCCCAGCTACTCGGGAGACACTGAATCAGGAGGATCACTTGAACCCAGGAGTTCAAGGTGGCTATAAGCACTGACCCTGCTACAGTACTCCAGCCTGGGCAACAGAGCACGGCCCTAACTCTAAAAAACATATTTGAGAAAGGCTTACAGTCTGGATAATAACTGCACAACATATCTAAAATTATGTCATCTAATTTTTAAGGCTATAAGGTAACAGGGAATTACCCCTTTAAGGTAGTACCACATTATATTTTCATAATCATAAGCTTCCACTAATAGCTTGAATGGAAACCAAATCATTAAATTATAGGGCATGTCCATTTTTTTTAATGAGGAATTCTCAAAATTAAGCTGACCATAAAACTGATTTACTCTTAAAATATACTTAGAATATACTACTGCTTATATATTAATAGTAATTAAAAAGATGATTAAAACTTTAAAGACAATAATGCAAATGAAGAAATGCAAATGACCAATAAACATATAAAAGAATTATATCTTTACTAATAAAGACATAAATCAAAATGAGTGTACCAAATAGCAATTGTACATATTTTATACTATAGAAATAATCAGAAAAAAACATATTTGTTTAAGGGCATTCATTACCAGCACTGTCGTATAGCAAAAATGGAGGGTATATTAAGAAAAAGAAGGGCCGGGCGCGGTGGCTCAAGCCTGTAATCCCAGCACTTTGGGAGGCCGAGACGGGTGGATCACGAGGTCAGGAGATCGAGACCATCCTGGCT